AGTCGATCGGCCAGCGAACAGCGATTAACCGGAGCAGACGATTGGAAAATTCTGCAAATAGAAACCCAATATGTCCCAGAAGCAGAGCCGTTCGATTGAATGAATAAAGCAAGGCACTTCAGCAGGAAACCAACTGCGACAGATTAAGAAAGAACATGGATTTCAGTGAGAAGCAAAGGAGACTGCGTCACCCACATGCTATCCAATTTATTGCCACGTAGACCTGGTGCTTATTCCCAGTTTCAATGCATCTGGAATAATAATCCATCCACTGTGGTTTAGTTGGGTATATGTATTTGTGAAAAAAGTACTTTATATGTATATTATATGTTTTATTTTATATATAAATGGGAACGGTACTGGAAGGTTGGGGATTACACCCTACAGAATGATCTGTTATATCTGGCTACGAACGACAAGGTATTTGGAAGCGATGCAGAATTCGCATCTCTCTCTCTCTCTCTCCCCCCGAGTTGTCCTACTCAGAAACAAACGCCTCGTTGGTTGTATTCCAGATGGGCGCTGGTACTGAAATCAGACGTGGGGGGGGTGAGATTTCCATCCGAACTTTTACAATGAAGTCATCCCGACACCAAAACAGACGAAGCTGCCGGGTGTTTGATAACGTCGAGGATGGTCGCTGACATTCTGTTCAATAAATCATTTCAACCATGCCATTCGGGGGAAGCAAAAAAATCACATCCTGGACATTCTCTAGCGCATAGTACTGGGCGCATACTCCGTACAATTCAATGTGCTGCACAGTTCACTTTCCTTCTCAATCTCTCCCCTCGCCTGAGGCATGGTGACCCTTGGGTTAAACTATCACCAGTCATCGCTCTCTAATGGTAATACTCTGGCAACTTTACCTTACTTCATAATAATACAAGTTCTCTTAGTTCAAAGCGTGATTGAACGATTAATATCAAAATGTAGTGGTAACCTCCTGTCACTAATTCGTGCGATTACAATGGGTACTACAATAGCTACAGAGGTCTCGCTGTAGTTATTCTGCAGATGAGTCCAGATGTAATTTTGTTGCTTTGAAAGGGCAATAGTTGTTTGAGGTAACAATCACGCATGGTTATAACAAGATCGTTGGAGGACTAATGGTATCAGGCAAGGATTATAATGGCATCAAGGGAATCGACAAATAAACCTCACTTTGGCAGTGAAGAGATAGTAGGAACTGCAGATGCTGGAAAATCTGAGATAACAAGGTGTCGAGCTGGATGAACACAGCAGGCCAAGCAGCATCAGAGGAGCAGGAAAGCTGACGTATCGGGTCTGGACCCTTCTTCAGGGTCTAGACCCGAAACGTCAGCTATCCTGCTCCTGAAATGCTGCTTGGCCTGCTGTGTTCATCCAGCTCTACACCTTATTATCTCAGTTACAGTGAAGTTCCTTTCCCCATTGCTACTGAGTTGTAAGATGGTTCATTCTTATAAAAAAACTACCCTCACGCTCCATGACTATCACAGTGAACATCCCGAAATCCGCACCAACTTCCCAGCCGTGTACATCAATCACATGGTACATGGTAAATAATTACTGTATTTTCTGTACTTTTACAGAATAAAATGTCGTTAGTGGTGGCGGGCAATTCTTTCAGCGTGTCATCCACTGCATTTTAGCAATACTCCCTCACACACAAATACATACATAGTCCCCAAACGCGCGCAGATCCCCGCCTTTCACTAACAGATGTCCACACGTGCACACACACACACCTACACATGTACGGACTCATACACACAGCCTACACACGCAGAGATCCCCCCCAACACACACACACATTCCCATACACATACGGATTCACACACAGACCCCTACGCACGTATAGATTCCTACACACCCAACACAGGCCTACACATGTAGAAGACCCTACACACAGGCCTGTATGCACCTCCACACACATTCCTACACACATAGAGACTCCTACATACACACAGACCCTACACACGTAGAGACCCCTACATACAGACCGTTATACACCACAGAAACCTACACACATGCAGTCGCTGACAAATGCTCAGATCTGCCCACCCACACACATTCCCAAATACCAACAAACCCATTCACATATACAGACCTTTATATGCAGAACCTTGCATATGCACGGATGTCTACATACACAGAGAGACCCCTAACCAAAAACTCCTGCACGGTACAGACTCCTATACACACAATCATACAGATCAGCAAATACAGACACCTACTGACGTCAGACACCTAGACACACTAATACCTACATACACTGAAACCCATAGGGACCAACACATACACATACTGGCATAAAACACCTAAACACAGATCCCGACACAAACGCAGATCCGTACACACACAGCCACCTACACACACAGATCCCTATACCTACTCAGACACCTAAATGCACACCAGCCCCTACAGACATACTCCTTAAACCCATACTCCTTGAAACTGTTGCATTGATGATACAGTTTCCCTAACAGTCGTCTCTGTGGCCACTTCACATTTCTCTTCCCAGGAAAGTTGGCAGCTAAATGTTATACAGGTATTTAACACTCCCTGATCTGGTGCTCATTTGTTCCTATGTTAAGGCTGTACATTGGTCCTTCCACTGCTGGCTTGTGGAAATGCTTTGAAATTGGTGGGTTGGGTGGCGGTCAATGAGTCTGTCTCACAGTTTCTCTCCACGGTACTTTCCCAAAAGCCCTGTCTGGGAACTGAGGACTGGTCTTGCTTGCGGTCTGAAATCTTGACTGAATTTTTGTTTTTTTTTCCACTGAATTTGCTTGACATACTGAATATCTGCATTACCACCCCTCCACCCTCTAACCCACCCACATAATCTCCTGTTTTCGTTCTCAATGGTTTTCTCATACAGTAACTCTCATTGATCCTGCCACTTTCTCTATTTCTAATGATTCAGCCGCTGCTGCTTGAGATCCTTCTTTGGTCCCGAATCACTTTGTTAGTTTCACTTTAGTGGAAGTTTACAAGGTAACTATTTTGTGTCTGATCAAGCTGCTGTGAAATGCACAGGGACATTTTATTACCAGGAAGGTATTGCACAAATAGAGACTTGTTTACAGCTACGAATTGGGTATATCATAGCGTCAACGTCGCGTAACTGTGACATTTGTGAAGGGAGAGGGAGAGAGAAAAGGATAGAAAGAGTAAAAGAACATGAAGAAAAGTAAGAGAGAGAGAGCGACTGGAAGAAAGAAAGCCATTGAAAGAGACAAAAAATACAGAAAGAGAGAAGTGCCCAAATAAAGTAAGAGAGAGAGAGAAAGAATGAAACTCCAAAAGAAAGTGAGAGGGTGAGAATCAAAGAGAGAGAGAGAGATGAGAACAGAGAAAGAAAAAAAAGAAAAGGAAAGCGGGGGATTTAAAGAAGAGTTTGACAGAAAAGAGAAAGAAAGAACGATCAAAAGAAAAATTGTAAGAAAAAATGCAGAAAGATAAAGAGATTGGTAGGAAGAAAAACAGAAAGAGCAAATAAAAACCAAGAAAGAAAAAAAGAAAGGGGAAATAAAAGAGAGAAGGGGATTGAAATCAAGAAACACAGGAAGAGAAAAGAATGAGAAAGATGGAGAGAGTAAGACCAGAGAAAGATAAAGAGAGAAAGAATGACAAAGATTGGAAGAAAGAGGAAGCGAGAGTAAAGAAAGAGATTAGAAGGAATAGATGAAGTAAGAGAGAGGGAACAGCAGGCCTCAGTTTAATGTTTCAATCACAAGACAGTGTAGCACCTCTTCAGTACCTCATTGGAGTGTCAGCCTAGATTCTTATACTCTCCAGAGCGGAATTTCAGTCTAGAAGTAAGGGTGCTACTCACTGAGCTACAGCTGATATGTTTGGAGTATATTCTTAATTAAAAATCTAACAGTTTGTATAGTTCTCAAAACTGGGATTAGGATCAGAGGATGCTTACGGCACAGAAGGCCAATCGGCCTTTCCAGCTGGTGCCCACTCTCCGCAAGAGCAATTCAGCAAACCCCATCTCCCACCGTCCACCTCCGCCCCATTTCTTTCCTCGAAAATATTTCGAATTGATTTCTCTTAGTAGGAATCTCATTTGAAGGCTCAGTGGTGAATCTACCTCTGCCACACTCTCAGAAATCTAATCACTGGGCATTTTCCTCATGTCACCCCTATTTCTTTTGTCAGTCACCTTAGATCTGGGCCCTCTGGGTCTCGGTACATCCTCCAGTTTCTCCCTATCTACACTGTTCAGGTCCCTTGTGATTATGAACATCTCTGTCACGAATCCCCGCGGCCTTTTAAAGAGAACTGGACTCTCTCCCAATCCATCAAAGTAAACCGCAGGTCCTTCATATTATCCAGTTGACATTTCACGTGGATGTCTAAAATGTGCGTTAGAGAAATACGAAACAGAAAAGTTTTTTTTATAAAATGTTTTCAACCAGGTATTTAACAACAAGAAGTACAATAAACCGGGGTGATATGTACATGTTTAACCTTTCCTTAACACTCCAACAAATTATATTGACAGTTTTTTTAATGGTTTCAATTTTATCAATAACACTAGATGCAAAACGCACAATTCCATTTATCCCCCTCTTCTTTCCTTGGACAAAGAGGCAGTTCAGTTAACACCGTTTCCCTGTGTTTGGGGGCAATCTGCACGAACTGTTTTCCAGATTTCCCCAGTTTGTGGTGGTCAGCACACCCCAGTGGCCGGACGCAGCATCGCCTTTTTAAACAACACACACACACAAAACGGGAATGTGGAGAGTAGGAAGTTCACACGCGATAGGAGGAGGAGGAGGGAGAAGTGAAAGGACATTCCCCCTGGGAAGGGGATGGAGCGGGGAGGGGGGAGGGAAATAGTTGGGAG